TTGTTTTCTATTTTCATAACTTGTGGTCAGAAATGATATTTGATATAGTTTCTACCTTTTTGAATTTGTTTAGACTTGTTTTGTAACCTAACACATAACCTATCCTAGAATGTTTTCTGTGTGTGCTTGAGAAAAATGTATATTTTGTTGCTGTTGGATGGAATGTTCTGTATATTTATATTATGGCTATTTGATCTATACTGTTGTTCAAATCTCCTGTTTCCTTACTGATTCTGTCTGGATGATCTAGCCATTATTGAGAATGGGATAGTAAAGTTCCCCAACTATTATTATATTGTTTATTTTTCCTTTTTGTTCTCTTAGTATTGGCTTTATATATTTAGGTGCTTTGCTGTTGGGTGCATAAATATTTACAATTGTCATATCTTCTTGATGAATCAACCCCTACATTATTATATAATGGCCACCATGGTCTCTTGTGATGATTTTTAGCTTAAAGACTATTTTGTCTGATATAAGCATAGCAACCTCTCCTTTCTTTTAGCTACCATTTCCTTGGAATATCTTTTTTTCTTCCTTTCATTCTCAGCCTATGTGTGTCCTTAAAGCTAAAGTGAGTCTCCCACCGTATCACTGGAGCTTATTTTTTTATCCATTTATCCATTCTATGTGTTTTGATGTGAGAGTTTAATCTACTTACATTTAAAGTAATTAGTGATAGGTAAGGACTACTGTTGTCATTTGATTGTTTTCTAACTGTTCTGTAGATCCTATGTTCCTTTCTTCCTCTCTTCCTATATTCTTTTTGGAAAATTGATGACTTTTTTGGCAGAATGCTTTGACTCTTTATCATAACCTTTTGTGTATCTAATACAGGTTTTTCCTTTGTGGTTACCATGAGGCTTACGTAAAATATAATATCCTATTTTAAGATAATAAGAACTTAACTTCAATAGCATACAGAAATTTTATACTTTTACTCCTACACTCCTCAGATTTTATGTTACTGATGTTATAATTTACATCTTATTTTATAGTGTCCAATAACAAATTATTGTAGTTATGGTTATTTCAAATACATTTGTTTGTAACTGTTATGCTACTGTTGTGATTTATGCACCACCACTACAATATTAGAGAATCTAACTTTGACTGTATATTTACCAGTACATTTTACCCATTAATATATTCTTATGATATTCATTAGCATCCTTTCAATTCAGCTGTAAGAACTCCTGTTAATATTTCTTGTAAGGCAGGTCTAGTGTTAATGAACTCCCTCAGCTTTTCTTTCTTCGGGAAAGCCTTTATTTCTCCATTTCTGAAGGAGAGCTTTTCTGTGTATAGCGTTCTTGGTTGACAGTATTTTTTTCTTTCAATATTTTGAATAAATTTTCCCACTCTTTTCTGGCCTGCAAAGTTTCTGATGAGAAGTCTACATATAGTCTTATGGTAGCTCCTTTGTATGTGATAAGTTGCTTTTCTTCTGCTGTTTTCAAAATTCTCTTCATCTTGAATTTTGACAACTTAATTACAATGTGTCCTGTTGTAGCCCTTTTCAGATTCAACATATTTCAGATTCAGCATATTTCAGATTCTTTGAGCTTCATGAATCTGGATGTCCATGTCGCTCACTAATTTTGGAAGATTTTTCAGTGATTATTCCCTTATTCTTTCTTTTTCTCTTCTTCATCTGGAATTTTCAAAATGTTATTTCTTTTGATGATGTCCCATACATCCCATAGACATTCTTAATTTCTTTCCTTCTTTTAAATGTTTTTCTCCTCTAATGGAATAATTTCAAAGGATCTTATTCAAGGTCATTGAGTCTTTCTTCTGCTTTCTTCTTGAAGCTCTCTATTGAATTTTTCAGTTCAGTCATTGTATTTGTCAGCTGTAGGATTTTTGTTTGTTTTTTGACTTTTTTTTCTTTGTTGAACTTCTCATTTTGTTCATGCATGTTTTCCTATATTCATTTAGTTGTTTTTCTTTCTTCCTGTCATTCAATGAACTCCTTTAAGAGGATTATTCTGAACTGTTTTTCAGACATTTCATTGATCTCCACTTCTTTAGGTTCTGTAGTTGAAACTATTAGTTTCGTTTACTTACATCATGTTTACTTGATTACTTGTATCTTTACATTGGTATCTATACATTTAAGTAAGCATTCTTCTTTTCCAGAATTTACATGTTTACAATGAACAGGACTGCTGGATGTGCTCCACAATCCAATCAGGTGTGGCCACTAGCAGGTCTCTGCAAGTACCTCTTATCAGGTGGGATTATAGTCTGTTTTCTGGCATGGTGGTGCCAGTGATTGGACTGTGTGATTGGGCAGGACTGTGGGCTGGGCTCCTCAATTGTTCCTGGTTGAGTGAGCACTCAGGTGGTTCTCCCTAAACGATGGTGCAACTGGCTGGACTCCACATTTAGGCAGGACTGCAGGCTGGGTTTTTTGTCATGTGGGGCCTTAGGCTGTGCTTTGTGATAAGGTGGGGACACAGGCTGTTCCCCAAATTTGGGTAGGGTCACAGGCTGTGCTTTAGGATTAGATAGGTCAGTGGCTGTGCTCTGCTGAAGGATAAGGTCACTGGCCAGAATTTCTGGTCAGTCAGGGCCTCCAGCTGTATCCTGACGTTGGGTAGGGCTTGAGATTGAGTGCAGTGTTCAGGCATCATCTCTGTCCAGGGGATGTTTAATAATCAGGCAGGGCTGTAGTTTGGGTTTTGCTGATGGGCAAGGTTGTAGGTTGGGCTCTGTGGCTAAGTGGAACTGTAGGCTGAGCTCCAAAGTTGTTCAGGGTCACTGACTGTTCAGTGTAAAACTATGTTTAATAATTGGGTGGGGCTGCTGGCTTGCCTGCTTTCCCAAGTGAGGCAATAGAATGGACTCCACAGTTTTCCTGGTTCTCTGACCGGCTTTCTGGTCAGGACATACTGGAGGCTATGCTCTGCAGTTGAGAATGACTTCAGACTTGGTTCTCTGCTTGGGCAGGATCATAGAATGGGCTCCACAGACAGTACTCTCTGAAACTAGGGAACCAAACCAGGTACAATGGCTAACCATGCTCCCTTGCCAGATGGGATCACCACCTCAGCTCTGAACATGGGCAGAGTCACTGGCTAGGATCTCTGATCGGCCACTGCTTCCACTGGGAATGCCATCCGGTGAGATCTGAGCCCTGGTTGCTGTAAATCTTTCTTCCTTCTCAGTTTCTCTCTGATTCCCCATTGTCAAACTCTACAGATTCCCTCAGTGATCCCCATAAGGGAAGACCTGCTTGAGCCTCCTAGGAAGCATTCCACAATGCTGGGGAAGCTGTATTTCCATCTTGGGACCTCTTCTCCTACTGGATATATCATAGCCCTAGATAGGCCCTTTTAATGAGCCTCTGTGCCAACCTAGGTGAAACGGCTCCTTTTACTTTCTAATGTGGTTCACCTTGGTCTCTGTTGTCCAGAGGGGGTGTTTCAGCTTTACCTCCTGGTTCTGGGATTTTCACAATGGTGTGTTATCTATGGATAGTTGCTAGTTGGTATTCTTGTGAGGAGGACTAATGTCAGGATTAATCTATATCACAATATTGATGACTTCAACTTAGTCAATGTTTTTATTATTTATTACAGACTTTTCAACCTATAAATGATGTACTTTCATCGAGTTGTCTAAGCTTAGCAGTTGTGTATCATTTGCAAATTTGTTTCAACTTTCTCAGTCTTCACTGAAGTCACTGATCAACAAGGATTGCTTGTCTCCTCTAGTCCATTGCTATTGCATGAAGAATGTATAAACCACTGATATGGAGTCTGTATCTTTATTTATTTTCTTAGCAGCAACTACAGGTTTAAATAGAACTCCTAATGTTCTTTTTCTTTTCCTCAAGACTTGATGTATATCTGGAGGAAACAGCTGTGCCACCACTGCCAGTGAGGCCCTTTCACCACTTTTATTCAACATAGTATTGGAAGTTGTAGCCACAATAATACAGCAAGAAAAATAAATAAAAGTCATACAGATTGCAAAGGAAGACACAAAACTGTTATTGTTTGTATATGACATGATTATCTATGTAGAAAATCTCAAATAAATTACGCAAAGTTCTTAGAACTAATAAGTGAATACAGCAAGGTAACAAGATACAAGATCAGCAAGCAAAAATCAGTTGCATTTCTATGTACCCATAGTTAATGTATAGAAATAGAAATTTAAAATACAATACTATTTACAACCCCTCCAGGGAAAATTAAATACTTACATATAAACAACACAAAACATGTGCAGAATATATATGCTAAAAATTGCAAATTGATAATAAAGAAACCAAAGAATATTGAAACAATATGACTAACATACCACATTATTGGATTGGAACATGTGAATTCTCTCCAAATTGACCTATAGGTTTAATGAAGTAACTATCAAACTTTAGCAAGGCTTTTATAGATATGGAAAAACTAATCCTAAAATTTATATAGAAAACTAGAATAGCTGAAATAATCTTGACAGAGAAGAATAATATGGGAGGAATCACTCTACTCAATATTAAGGCTTATTGTATAGCTACAGTAATGAAAACAGTGTGATATTATAGAGGGATAAAACACAGATAAATGAAACATAGTAAATAAAACCCAGAAATTTACCCACCAAAGTATGTCCAACTCATTTTGGACAAAAAGGAAAATGCATTAAATGAATAAAGGATTAACTTTTTAACAAAATGATTATGGACATCCATTGGCAAACAAACAAACAACAGAAAAAAAACCAAAAAAAACTCAACCTGAATTGAGACATCTTATACAAAAAGTAAACTAAAATAGATCATGAACTTTAATGATAAATATAAAACTATAAAACTTTTAGTAAAAAGCATAGGAGAAAAATTTTAGGGATCTGGAGTTTTGTGAAGAATTCTTAGACTTGACAACAAAAATATTATCTATAAAAGGGAAAAAATGTTTCGAACTCATCAAGATGAAATAATTTTTCTCTGTGAAGGAATCTGTACAGAAGATGAAAAGACAAGCTGAATACTGGGAGAAATTACTTTCAAATCACATATTCAGTAAGGGAATTATACGCAGAATATATAAAGAACTGTCTAATATTAGCAGTAAGCAAACAATCTAATTAGAAAATGAGCAAAGGGCACGAACGTATTTTCTACCAGACAAGATGGCATATAAGCACATGAAAAGATTTTCAGTATCACTGGTACCAGAAAATGCAAATTAAAACCAGAATTAGACCCCACTAAACAGTTATGAGAGGCTCAAATTAAAAAGATAGTAACAAAACCAAAAATGGTGGTGAGGACAGAGAGAAAGTAGATTGCTCATATGTTGCTCTTGGGAATGCAAAATGGTACAATGACTGTGGAAAATAGTTTTGTAGTTTCTTTTAAAACAAAACACGCAATTGCCAAACAATCCAGCAATTCAACTTCATTTCTCAGAAAAATGAAAACACAAATTTATTTAAAAAAACAAAACACCCATACACAAATGTTCCTATAAGTTTTAATAGTCAAAAACTGGAATCAGCCCAGATGTCTTTCAACAGGTGAATGGTTAAACGACATGTGGTACGCCCATTCCATTTTTGATGGTTAATTTTTATGTGTCAAATTGACTAGGCCAGAGGGGGTCCAGACATTTGGTCAAACATTATTCTGAGTTTTAATGTGAAGATGGTTGTGAATGAGATTAACATTTGAATTAACAGATTAATAGATTAATTAATAGATTAATAGATTAATTAATTAATCTAATGTGGGTGGACCCATCCAATCAGTTGAAAACCTGAATAAAACAAGAAGGCTCATTTTCCCACACGTAAGAGGCAATTCTCCCTGCCTGTCTTTGAGCTGTGATACAGATTTTTCCCTGCCTTTGGAATTAAACAGAAACATTGACTCTTCCTGGGTCTCCAGCATACAGGCCTTTGGACTGGGACTACATCAGTGAGTTTATAGTCCTTCAAACTTGGAGTAGACCTACACCATCCAGCTTGTGGACTGCAGATTTTGGGACTTTTTAACTACTATACCTGCATTAGTCAATCCCTTATAATAAGTATGTAATAAGCAAGTATATCCTATTGTTTTTGTTTCTCTGATGAACCTTGACTAATACAGATTTTGGTACAAAGACTGGTTCTAGAGGAACTGAAGCTCCAGAATGAGTTTTCTGAAGTAGTTCTGAGGTTTCTGGAATTGGCACTCTAATTTCATCAGATTTAAAGATGTTAATGACAATTTCCAGTAGTAAAGAAAATACTGACAGTGAAAGATGTAATCTGGCAATGGAGGCACGCAAAATATCATCATTGGATACTCCTAATCAATCACTTATAAGTTACACAAGGATCTGTGTAACTGTGTATATGATACTTTTGGACATTTTTCTCAAACTAACGAATATGACGAGATTGGCTGTTTTCTCCTAATGCTGCTAGACAAAGTGGGGAAAGAAAAAGATGAGCTAGGGATTTAAATTCCTAGCTCAAGTGCTCTCAAACTATTTGAAATCTTCTGTATGTGCCCTAAAGAAGATACATATCTCCTACAGCTACAGGTCTGAGGTTGCTGAAAAATCAAATGCAGAACTTGGTCCTGTGACGGGCTCAGTTAAAATGCAAATTGAACTCCCTGCCTCATAGGTTGTCTGCTGTTAAAGTGAAGGCATTGGCTTGGGAGGAGTAGGATCCTTAAAGTTGGGATATGGATTTACGGAAAGTCTGTGATGAAGCTGGGGACATTGAACCTCTATATTCTAAGTCTTCTTTGCCAGTGGAAAAGGCCTCTCTTTCCCCAGTGGAAGCATCCTCTCCACCCCCTTCTGATAGGATTAACCCTGAATTGCCTGAAGAAACTTTAATGGCTTTCTGAAGGCAGTTAGCATGCAAGACACTGCTGTGTCTCCTTAGGACCTACCTCCAACATTCTTCTTTGCTTCTAGACTTATAACTAGACTCAAGTTCCAGCAGACCTCTAAAGGTGAGGTATAAAGTGTGACCCATGAGGAACTGCACTACACTCCAAAAGAAATAGTTGAGTTTTCTAATTTCTACAGGCAGAAATCTGGGGAATATGTACAGGAATAGATACTAACAGTGTGAGATAACGGTGGAAAGAACATAAAGTTGAATCAGGCTGAATGTAACAATATAAGTTCGCTGAGAACCCTGATTAATATACCATAGAACACTTCTCAGCAAAAAAGGGGCAGGAACTACTGATGCATATAACAACTTAGATGAATATCCATGAAATTACAGTGAGATAAATAAGTCAATCTTAAAAGTTCCCATACTGTTTGATTCCATTTATTTAACATCCTTGAAATGATAGAATTATAGAAATGGACAACAGAGTAGTGGTAGATCAGGGTTACAGACAGAGGATGTTTGGATGTGGAGGAGAGCTTTTAAAAGGGCAACAGTATGGAAACATGATTATGTAACTGTCCTGTATTCTGACTCTGAATACAAAAACCTGCACATGTGAGAAAATGTCACAGAATTAAGTACAAACATATAAACACATAATAATTGAAATGAGACTAAGTAAATCTAAATAAATATGAATAAATCTGAATAAAATCAATGTCAATATCCTGCTTGTAATATTGTAATATATTTTTCCAAGATGTTACCATTGGGGTTAACTGGGTAAAGGGTACATGGGATTCCTCTATATTATTTCATAAAATTGCATGTGAATGAACCTATAACTTTCCCAAAATAAACATTTTAATTTTAAAAAATGAAAAGGAGCACAAAACAAAACACAAACATCAACCAGGAGAAGTTAATGGCTAAAGCTAGAAAAATTTCAGGAACAAAATAATTATAGTACTGAATTTTAAACTACAGAATAAATTAAGTACCCATAAGTCTACACTAATATAAATACATATATACATGCTGGAGAAGAGAGTGCTCTTCCTTACAATAGATATCAAGTTAATAAATGTAAAGAAAAGAGGGAGATAGAGAATCAACATTAGGCAAACACCACAGTAATAGACTCTGCAGATGTGAACCTCCAATGGTTGCTAAAATTAGTGGGTACAAGTTTGAGGAGAAATAGAATTTTCAAAGTCTCAAAATATCACCCTCAAAATACTTATCAACTATAATGGAAAAGTTAGTCACTTTACATTGGAAAAACTTAAATAGATACCAACTTAATCAAGTGAGCAAGGTAAACATCACCAGTAATAAGATATGTGGACATCATGAACCCCTTGATATAGTACACTAAGAAAGATATAATGTCATTTATGTAGTACTCTTACCAAAAATAAATAACCTGTCTCCAATCATTAGAAAAATCTAAATTGAGAGATATTCTACAAAATAACAGACTGTTGTCCTTCAAAAGTGATAAAAGTCATGAAAGACATGGGTAAATCAAAGCACTGCTACAAGTTGAAGGAGACTAAGGAGAAATAACAACCAAAAGCAATCTGGGATCCTGGATAGAATCCTGGTACAAATATGAAGAATAGGAGGAAATTTGGTGAAACTAGCATGTCTACAGTTGAGAGTTGATAATATTTCAGTTAATAATTAAATATATACATAGAATTAATAATAATAATAGTAATACCATTAATAATACTGTACTAATGTCATTTATTTGTTCTTGGTAACTATACAATAATTGTGTAAGAGGTTAGCATTAGGGGAAGGAGGATAAAGGATAAAAGAACACTTTGTACTATTTTTTACTGTTCTATATGTATAAAATTAGTTAAAAATTTAAAAAATGAGCCACCACATTTTTACTTTTGCTCCAATTGAGAAATAATTATTTTATGGTTTTCTGTCAGAACATCAGGCTGAGGGATTGTAACATTTCTGTCTCCCTTTTCCTCATAAAGCAGCTATTCACATCCCTTTCTCTAACTCGATCCCCAAATATAAAGCTTCCCCTCCAAATAGTTCATATTCTTCAGGGATTGGTATCTAATTGATTTGAATCAATCAATACATTTAATCCCTTGACCACAGTGGTCAATTCAGGGATGTATATCTAAGCCAGTGTGAAAGAATAAGACACAAGAAGGTATTTCTGGAGGCTTCTTGGTCCCATTAATATGCTGGATGCTACAGTTTAAAGAGGTAATATGTGGTACTATTATAGCCATTTCTGATAACATGAAGGGAAACTTGACTGAAAAAGAGGCTGACATACTGGGTAGGACAGATGCAAGATAATTGCAAAGAATCTGAAAAGGAGCCCTGATAATGTTGCAGTGCCTAAAACTAGATATAGCTTCAGAGCATAGAGCCATTCATTCATATAATCTGATGAAGTTCCTTTTTTATTAAGGATAGTTTGGGATGGATTTTGTGACTTGTAATATAAAAACTCCTAAATGACAGTTCACATTATACATTATTACTATTCCTTATGAACCCCTGCACAGTGTTAGAATCTTTATTCACCCAGTGCAACTATAAGTTAATTAGAGTTGGCATATAAAATGCAACCTATTTCTTATCCCTGACCTTAGTATGTGTCAGACACTGTACCAGATGGTATTAAGGATACATAGATGAATGTGAGAGAGTTCCTGCTCTCCAGGAATAGCTGGTTAACCACAAAAGTTAACATATTAACACAAAAACTATAAGGTAGAAAATTTTACAGTCATAAGAAACTACAAATTAAATGCTATAAACTTTCAGAAAACTATAGGATTACTCATGGCTCAGTAGATCAGGAAAGACTAAATGGGAGAGGTAGCATTTGAGCGTGGCCTTGAGGAGTGAGGGAAGCTTAGACATATGGATATGGAGGAAGGCAGTCAAATAATAGAGAAAAACATTAGCAAAATCTTAGAGGCTTCCTTCAACAAGAGTATTTCGAATATTTTTTTTCTTTTTTAATATGTATAATAGGTTTGTGTAAGATTTTAAATAAAGTTGGGGTTTCTACGCAATTTTTTAAAAGCAGGATATCAGTGATGCAATTCAAACTTTTATTTTCACATAAGAAAATAAAGGCCTGGAAGTGGGAGAGTAACTTAGACAAGGTCACTGAGTTAATGGCAGAACCACTGTTAGTATGTGAGAATCAAAGGATAGAGTGAACAATGGCCAAGTTTTGTTTTGAATCCTACCAACGTCATTTACTAGATGTTTGGTCTTGAACTATTTGCTAAAATTGTGGAGAGCCTCATTTTTGTCTTATCTATAAAAAGGGAATAATATCTATCTTACAGGGTTATTGAAATAATGTTAATGCATACATAAATTCTTTAGTGTTCTATCTGGAATATATTCTCTTCACAATAAATGTGAGTGCATCTCCATAAAAATTCTCAATTGTCCATAAAATACACTTCTCTATATTAAGAAAAAGTTGTTCCGGGCTTCCCTGGTGACGCAGTGGTTAAGAGTCCGCCTGCCGATGCAGGGGACACGGGTTCGTGCCCCGGTCTGGGAAGATCCCACATGCCACGGAGCGGCTGGGCCCGTGAGCCATGGCCGCTGAGCCTGCGCGTCCAGAGCCTGTGCTCCGCAATGGAAGAGGCCGCAACAGTGAGAGGCCCGGGTATCGCAAAAAAAAAAGAAAAGAAAAGAAAACGTTCCGACAGGATCCTTCCTGCATAATATGCTCTTACTCATACAATATACTACTTAAGAAAAGCTAAATTTGCAAAGCTGAATGCAGCTGATTGGTCTAGGTAATGGTCCACAAACAGAAAGCACCCATATATGATCTGGGCAAAAGGACAGCCAATCATTTCTGAGGTGGTTTGGCATTAAGTTTCCCACAGTAAGTGGTAATAAACCAACCCAATCAAAACATCTCTTGGGAAGTATAAATGCTAAAATGAATAAAAGGAAGGTGTACTACTCAGCTCAGGTTGCTGTTCCAAGTAATAATGAATAATGCTTCCTATTTTCTGTGAAGACCAGGACGCATCCCAATGTTAGAAATTCTGAGATCTGTGTTGACAGTGTGGCAAATGAAATTATTTCTTCCATGCCCTTGCATTAATAACTATCACTAAAGGTAATCTGTAATTTTACTTTCCTTAAAACGCAAAGAATTACAGCTTAACCCATGTGTTCTCCCTAAACGGCACAAACAGTAGTAGTAGTATGCAAGTAGGTAGCAGAAGGAATGCAGGAGACAGAAGAATCAAGGTAATGTAAAGTAAAATTACATACAAAGAATCGTTATGTCCCAGAAAAATGCATATGCTATCATTAATCTTCACAGCTATCCAGTGAGATAGGACTCACTTTTCAGATGAAGAAACTGAAGTGTAGGTAGTAAACTTTCTTCAAATCATATAGCTTAGAAGTAGAGTCATTTTCTTTCCACCATATCTTCAACATAAGACAAGTAAGTATTTATCTACTTTTAGCTTTGTATGAAATTCAACTACACCAAACCTGGTCTTTATCCTCCCTTGCTTTCAAGAGTATTGTCCTGTTACCCCAAACTAATGTTTACCCTTATCACTTGCTTTCAAAGGCTATCATCCTGTATTAAGCTTCAGATCATTTGTGGTGAACCAAAGCCTAACAGATTACTCATTGCTAATTAAATAGCCTGATTCTGTCCACTGAAGCTAATGCATTAAAGTATTTAATGTTTGTTTGGTAAACTGCTTTACTAAATGCTCCTTTGACTTTTATTGGTAATAAACATTAAGCATTTATGGCCTGTGAAAGCAGCTTCTCATCCACTTTATGCTGTTACTATTTACAATTTGTTAATGAAATAACATTAACTTCCTTCAAGTCAAAAGTTGTTTTTGTTCTCCTCTTTAACTTTTATCGTATGGCATTAAGAATAACTCACTAATATTTGGATGAACTATGCTTTTACTAGTAGTTTTTCGATAAAGGAAATGATACTTTACTAAACTCAGCACACTTCAGGATTCAGTGACATTGCTCCAAACCAGACATAGGCCTAATTCCCTTTCTTTAGCTCACACTGTCTTCCAGCTGCATTGTGATCTCCTTTGGGTACCTATAGGTTTCAGCAATAATAACAAACCCAAAGAATTCTGACTTCCTCACCTTCACTGTGATTTGACTTCTTAATATGAATCTTTCATTTAAACTTTCTGATATGGATTTCTTAGAATCTGTTAACTTTTTTCAGGCAGAGCTCCTCCAGAAGGAAAGAACGTAAGAAGAGTTTGGGACATGTGAACAGTGTCTTGAGTCTCTCTGAAGACTAAATCTGAGTGTCGGAGCATACTCACTTAAAGGATGCATACTTTGTTCATTGATGAGTGCATTTAATGCAGTTTAAAAACTATAATATAGAAGAGAAACATTTAAGTCTAAGTTTCCCAACTTCTCATTTTGATTTCCTGACTCATTTTGATCTTTCTGCTTCTTGGTTAAAAAATGTTGATCCTCGGGGCTTCCCTGGTGGCGCAGCGGTTGGGAGTCTGCCTGCCGATGCGGGGGACGCGGGTTCGTGCCCGGTCCGGGAGGATCCCACATGCCGCATAGCGGCTGGGCCCGTGGGCCATGGCCGCTGGGCCTGCACGTCCGGAGCCTGTGCTCCGCGGCGGGAGAGGCCACAGCAGTGAGAGGCCTGCGTACCGCAAAAAAAAAAAAAAAAAAAATGTTGATCCTCTAATTATTGCTGAGCATACTCAAAATGAGGAAAGAATGCTAATTGCCAAAATGGCTGATTAGTTCATTCTCTGAGGTTAGCTGTGCTCCTAGTCACCCAATAGCAAGTAGCATCTGGGGATGTTCTGACCTTTCAAGGAAGCTACCTATAACATAAACTACAGATGAAAGGAAAGTACAGTCCCTAATGTGCCATGTCAATGCTCAAAGAGAATGTTAAAAAACCTATGAAACCTGAATTGTAGAGCAAGGCATTTGGTTAATTCAACAATTTTGTGTAGACAGTACACATTTGAAAAGCTCGTTTTACCTGTGTTTACATTATGTATCTCTGAAGGATAATTTATGTAATGGAAATATGTTAGTCCAAGTTTCACATGTGACCATAGGAAAGAACTGCAGTAAATGCAAACATTGATTGATACTGAGAAAGAATGATTTATACTGAAAACAGAGAAGGGACAATTTATCCTAAGAATATCAATTAAATGTCTGGGTATTTGCAAATTGTCTCTGTCATGTGCAGTCATTAGGTACTCAAAATGAAACAAAGACACTTAGGTGTGAAAAAGATATATTTTCGTTTTGAATGCAATTTTGTTTTGTGAGAAAGCTGTCCTTGCTTTGTGTTGGTCTTAAGGAAAAACTTCCTCTAGGCATCTGACAGAAATTATAGGTGTAGCGGGTGTTTTGTTTGTTCTTATTATTTTAAATGCAAGCTGGTAACTTAGAAAAATATTCATTTTCTATACCTAGAAATTTATATAATAAATTGTTTTTAGATAATCATTTATAGATTTTCATCATTCTAAAATGAAAGAGTTACACTTATCAATAATTACTTTAAATGTCAATGAACTAACCGGTCCAATCAAAAGACACAGGTTGGCTGACTGGATAAGAAAAATAAGACCCATCTAAATGTTAACTACAAGAGATCAATTTCAGACCTAAACACACTCACAGACTAAAGGTGAGGGGATGGTAAAAGATATTTCTCACGGAAACAGAAATGACAAGAAAGTGAGGGTAGACATACTCTTATGAGACAAAATAGACTTTAAAACAAAGGCTATAAAAAAGACAAAGAGGGCATTATGTAATGAAAGGGATCAGTACAAGAAGAGGATATTACACTTGTTAAAGTATATGCACCCTAATACAGAACCACTCTCATCAAAGTTGATATAGAGGGAACATATCTCAACGTAATAAAGGCCATTTATGACAAACCCATAACTAACATCATACTCAACATCTAAAAGCTGAAAGCCTTTCCTCTAAATTCAGGAACAAGACAAGGATGCCCACTCTCACTACTTCTATTTAACATAGAATAGGGGGTCTTATCCACAGCAATCAGACAAGAAAAAGAAATAAAAAGCATCCAAATTGGAAGGAAAGAAGTAAAACTGTCACTGTTTGCAGATGACATGACACTATATATAAAAAATGCTAAAGTGTTCACTAAAGAAAATAATTTGAACTAATAAATGAACTCAGTAAAGTAGCAAGATATAAGATTAAGAGAAATCTGTTCCTTTTCTATACACTAATAATGAACTATCAGAAAGAGAGGGCAAAAAAATCCTGTTTAAAATTATATCAAATAAAATAAAATTATATCAAAGGAAAAAAATAACTAGGAATAAACTTAACCAAGGAGGTAAAAGACCTATATTCAGAAAACTATAAATAACTGATGAAGGAAATTGAAGATGATACAAAGAAATGGATAGACATCCCATTCTCTAGCAATGAAAGAATTAACATTGCTAAAGTAGCCATACTACCAAAAGCAATCTACAGATTTAATGTGATCCCCGAGCAAAATACCAATGACATTTTTCACAGAACCAGAACAAATAATCATAAAATTTATATGAAACCAAAGAAGACCCTGAATTGCAAAAGAAATCTTGAGAAAAAAGAACAAAGCTCAAGGTATCACCCTCCCTTACTTCGGGATATACTACAAAGCTACAGTAATCAAAATAGCATGGTACTGACACAAAAAACAGACAAATAGTTCAATAGAACAGAATAGAGAACACAGAAGGAAACCCACAAACCTAAAGTCAATTGATCTATAACAAAGGAGTCAAGAACATACAATGGAGAAAATACAGTTTCTTTTTTAAAAAAATTTTTTTGGCTGCACTGCACGGCATGTGGGATCTTCCCCGACCAGGGATCAGACCTGCACCCCCTGCATTGGAAGTGCAGAGTCTTAACCACTGGACTGCCAGGGAAGTCAAAAAAACAATCTCTTTAATAAGTTATGCTGGGAAAGCTGGGCAGCTACATGTAAAACAATGAGATTGAACACTTCCTCACATCATATACAAAATCAAAATGGATTAAACACCTAAATGTAAGACCTGAAACCATACAAATTTTAGAAGAGGACATTGGCAGAGCACTCTTTGACATAAATAGTAAAAAAAATTTTGGATCTATCTCTAATGCAAAAGAAATAAAAGTAAAAATAAACAAGTGGGACCTAATCAAACTTAAAAGCTTTTGCACAGCAAAGAAAGCCACTGACAAAATGAAAAGACCACTTGCAGAATGGGAGAAAATATTGGCAAACAATATGACTGACAAGAGATTAATACACAGAATATGTAAACAGTGCATATAACTCAATATTTTAAAAAAAAACAGGGCCTCCCTGGTGGTGCAGTGGATAAGAATCTGCCTGCCAACGCAGGGGACACAGGTTCGAACCCTGGTCCAGGAAGATCCCACGTGCTGTGGAGCAACTAGGCCTGTGCGCCACAACTACTGAGTCTGTGCTCTAGAGCCTGCATGCCACAACTACTGAAGCCCGAGCATCTAGAGCCTGTGCTCCGCAACAAGAGAAGCCACTGCAATGAGAAGCCTGCGCACCACAACAAAGAGTATCCCCCACTCGCCGCAACTAGAGAAACCCGTGCAAAGCAATGAAGACCCAATGCAGCTAAAAATAAATAAATAAATAGATGTAATCTCTCATCATTTATTAAAAAACAACAACAGACAACCCAATCAAAAAATAGAAGACCTAATTAGACAATTTTCCAAAGAAAACATACAGTTAGCTAACAGGCACATGAAAAGACTCTCAACATTGCTAATTATGAGAGAAATGCAAATCAAAACAACAATGAGATATCACCTCACACTTGTCAAAATGGCTAAAATTTGCAATGTTGGCAAGGATGTGGAAAAAAAAAGGAACACTTGCATTCTGTTGGTGGGACTGTAAATGGATGCAGTCACTATGGAGAACAGTATGGAGGTTCCTCAAAAAACGAAAAGTAGAACTAACTTGTGATCCAGCAATTCCACTCGTGGGTATATATCCAGAAAAAAATGAAAACACTAATTCTAAAAGACACATGCTCCCCAATGTTCATAGCAGCACTATTTATAATAGCCAAGATATAGAAGCAACCCAATTGTCCATTAACAGAGGAATGGATAAAGAAGCAGTGAGCTATCTATATCTATCTATCTATCTATCTATCTATCTATCTATCTATCTACCTATATCTTTATATAATGGAATATCACTCATCCATAAAGAACAATGAAATTGCCACTTTGGCAATGTGTATGGACCTAGAGAATATTATGCTTAGTGAAATATGTCAGAGAAATACAAATATTGTTTAATATCACATTTATATGTTGAATCTAAAGAAAAAACCTAAATGAATGTATATAGGAAAACAGAAACAGACTCACAGACATAGAAAACAAACCAGTGGTTGTTACAAGTGGGAAGAGAGGGGTGAGGACAGGCAAGATAGGTGTACTGTATTAAAAATTACAGACAACTATGTATAAAATAGATACACAACAATGATATATTATAGAGCACAGGGAATTATAGCCATTGTTTTATAACAACTTTTAATGGCATATAATCCATGAAAATACTGAATCACAATGCTGTACACCTGAAATTAATATAATATTGTAAATCAGCCATATTTCAATTAAAAAAAAGATATACAAAGCCATGTTTTATAAAATAAAACAAAACAAAGTATAATATTTATAGATGAATAGTAGACCGAACTGGATAAAGAGCCCAGAAATATACCACGTATAGATGGCAGTGTGAAATAATAGAAGTGGCAGCACCAATCTGTGAGGACATGATAGAAAATTTAGTAAATTATTTAGTAGAGATATGGGAAAAATGAATCATTTCATGGAGGAATATATTCTTTTCTCCATTGGAGAAATTTTTTTAACTTTTTCTTTTGAAATAATTTTATAATTACAGAAAGTTTCAAAAAGTGTACAGAGTTCTCTTATACCTTTCAGCCAGCTTCACATAACGATAACATCTGGTATAACCATTGTACAATGTTCAAAATCAAGAAATTAACATGTGATCCCTTTCAAATTACCCATGACATTTTTTACAGAACTACAACAAATAATCCTAAAATTTAGGTGGAACAATAAAAGACTTAGAATTGCCAAAGCAATCCTAAGGAAAAAGGCAAAGCTGGAGGCATAAGGCTCCCAGATTTCAGACTATGCTACAAAGCTACAAAGCTAAAGTAATCAAAACAGCATGATACTGACAGAAAAACAGACATATGGATCAATGGAACAGAATAGAGAGCCAAGAAATAAACCTACACATCTATGGTCAATTAATCTTCAACAAAGGAGTCAAGAATATACAATGGAGAAAAGACAGTCTCTTCAGCGAGTGGCACTGGGAAAGCTGGACAGCCACATGTAAGTCAACGAAGTTAGAACACTCCCTCACAGCCTACACAAAAGTAAACTCAAAATGGCTTAAAGACTTAAATATGCCACCATAAAACTCCTAGAAGGGATCACAGCCAAAGCATTCTCTTACATAAATTGTAGCAATGTTATCTTAGGTCAGTCACCCAAGGCAACAGAAATACAAGCAAAAATAAACAAATGGGAGCTAATCAAACTTATAAGCTATTGCACAGCAGAGGAAACCATAAACAAAACAAAAAGACAACCCTCAGAATGTGAGAAAAAAATTGCAAATGAAGCAAGCAACAAGAGATTAGTCTCCAAAATATATAAACAGCTCATATAACTCAATAACAAAAACACAAACAACCCAATCAAAAAACTGACAGAAGACCTAAATAGACATTTCTCCAAAGAAAACATACAGATGGCTAATAGGCACGTGAAAAGATGATCAACTTCGCTAATTGTCAGAGAAATGCAAATCAAAAATACAATGAGGTATCACCTCACACTGGTCAGAATGGCCATCATTTTAAAGTCTACAAATAATAAATGCTGGAGAGGGTGTGGAGAAAAGGGAACCCTCCCACACTGTTGGTGGAAATGTAAATTGGTCCAGCCACTATGGAAAACAGGATAGAGGTTCCTTAAAAAACTAAAAAAGAAATGCCATATGATCCAGCAACCCTACTTCTGGGCATATATCCAGAAAAAACTCTAATTTGAAAAGATATATGCACCCCAATTTTCACTGCAGCACTATTTACAATAACCAAGACATGGAAGCAACCTAAATGTCCATCAACAGATGAATGGATAAAGAAGATGTGGTACATATATATATACAATGGAATATTACTCAACCATAAAAAAGTATGAAGTATTGCCATTTGCAGCAACAAGGATGGACCCAGAGATTACCAAACTAAGTGAAGTATGTCAGACAAAGACAAGCATACAAATCACTTATATGTGGAATCCAAAAAAAAAATGATACAAATGAACCTATATACAAAAGAGAAACAGGGGCTTCCCTGGTGGTCTAGGAGTTAAGAATCCATGCTTCCAATGCAGGGGGCCCAGGTTCGATCCCTGGTCAGGGAAATGGATCCTGCATGGTGCAACAAAGATCCCACACATGGCAAGAAAGATCCTGCATGCTGCAACTAAGACCTGGCGCAGCCAAATAAATAAATAAATATTTTTTTTAAAAAAAGTGAAAACCTATATAATTCATTCTTTCAAAAAAAAATTTTTGAAAACCTCAAAAATATGGTAAATAACAAAAAAGAAGTTAAATAGTTCACTTGAAAATATTTAACACTATAGAAGATAGTAAAAAGTAACAGAGGAATAAGAAAGACATGAAACACAAATATATTTTATGTATTTATATACAAATAAGTATATACAAACAATAACAAAATGATGCAATTCCAATGATATCAATAATTATAACAAATTTAAATTGGTTGAATATTATAATTAAAAGGCAGAAATTTTCATATGGGATAAAGAACAAGATTCATCTATATGATACCTGTAAGATATGTTAGATTCAAAGACATAAATAGGTTGAAAATCAAAGAACAGAAAAATATATTCCATACAAACAGAAACTAAAAGTGTGATTGTTTATAAACATCAGACAAAATAATACTAAAGACAAAGAGGGATATTTTATAATGAAAGTAGGTTTCATTTATAAGAAAAATATAAGTAATATAAACATATATGTAGCTAAAAATAGAGAAAATACATAAAGCAAAAACTGACATGAAGGGAGAGACAATTCAAAAATAAAAGTTGAGGGCTTCAAGACCTCAATCTCAGCAATAGATAGATAAAATGAATTCACAGAAAATTAGCACAGATATAAAAAACTTGACCAACACTGTCCAATTTTTATCTATAGAACATTTTGCCTAATAATAGGATAATACACAATTTTTACAAACATAAATGGATCCTTCAATGGATAGAACACAAGGTGAGTCTTTTTTTAAATACTAAATTAATTTAAAATTATTGAAATAACACACAGTACATTCTCCAACAACACCACATTTAAATGATAAATCATCAGTAGAAAGAAATTTGGAATAGTCACAAGAGTTTGGACATTAAGCAGAATAGTTCTAGATAAACCAAGGGTGAAGAAGAAACTATAATGGAAATTAGAAAATAATTTAATTTTATGAAACATATCAAAAATTATGGGATGCATCTAAAGCAGTGTTTAGACAGAAATTTATAGATTTAAGTGTTTATATTTGAAAAGAAGATTTTGAATAAATTGGTGCAGTCACTATGGAAAACAGTATGGAGGGTCCTCAAAAAATTAAAAATAGAACTATCATTCCATCCAGCAATTCAACTCCTAGGTATTTATCTGAAGAAAACAGCAATACCAATTAGAAAGATATATGCACCCCTATGTTCACTGCAGCATTATTTACCCTAGCCAAGATGTGGAAGCAATGTAAGTGCCCACCAATAGATGAATTGATAAAGATGTGGTATATATATACAATGTAATGTTAGCCATAAAAAAGAATGAAATATGCCATTTGTGACATGAATGGACCTATAGGGTATTTTACGACATGAAATAAGTCACACAGAGAAAGACAAATACTGTATGATCACTTATATGTGGCATCTAAAAAAACAAATGAGCAAATGTAACAAGACAGAAACAGTTTCAGATACAGAGAAAAAACAGGTGGTTGCCAGAGGGGTGGTATGAAGAGAGTAATAGGTGAGGGAGATTAAGAGGTACAAACTTCTAGTTACACAATAGTCAAACATATGAAATGTACATCATGGGGAATATAGTCAATAACTATGTCATATC